TATCTATCTATCTATCTATCTATCTATCTATCATCTATCTATCTTACATCCAGCCATTATCTATCTATCTATCTATCTCTCTCTCTCTCTCTCTCTCTCTCTCTCTCTCTCTCCCTACCTACCTACCTACCTACCTTTCTTTTCTTTCTTTCACATTTATATTACACAAATTTTGTCTGTCCTCCACAAAGCAGATAAAAAATGGATTTCCATGCAGCCATGGTGGCACAGTGGTCATAGAATGCAGTACTGCTGACTGCCAACTGCCTGCAATTTGGCAGTTCAAATCTCAAATGAAGTTCTCTCTTGAGAAGCTAGACAATGCGTTTATTAGTAAGCAGCAGGAGTGGGATTCAGCCGGTTCGGGTGAATCGGTAGCTCCGCCGATCAGCTGAGAGCGAACCAGTTCGTTCCGTCGATTAGGTGGGCCCCCGCGCGCGCTATACTGACCTGTATTTCCTTTGTTTGAGGCCCAGCTGATCGGCGCAGCAGAGTGCTGTGCCTCAGCTCTTTTACTCACAGGGGCTGCAGTAGAAGGTAAGTTTTTCACCTGTTTTCAAATGCACCGCAACGCGCGCGCTCAGCAAACCGGGTGTTACCCCGGTTCAATCCCATCACTGGTAAGCGGGGTTAAATGTATTATGTGAACTCTGCCAAGCTGACCTGTATCTGTCTAGGCAACTTGGGAGAGATGCAGGCATCACTGAACCATGAACTTAGCATGAATTAAACTTTACCTTTCCCGTTAACCAATCTAGAGGCTGATTTTCTTGGCAAGATCAAGCATTGCATCCCTATAGGCTTAATTAAAGTTTTAGTACTTCACTGAAACACTTTATTATTGAATTCTGCTGAATTGGCAGGGGACTCCAACCTCATTAAGGGAATCAAGATAAATTACTGAGGGGACTTCCGTACTTTTATAACAAAAACACGGTCTAGATTCAGCTTTGACTTGTTCTTTTTGGTTGCAGAACATCCTGTCTACCTGAATTTGGTTTGTGACGGACAGAACTGCAACCATCCCTGCAGTGATATTCCCAAGGACAATGGGAAGAAGGAAACCTTTTCATTAATTGGGGAATGGAAGGCAGCTCTGCTGGGGAAGCTTTAATCTCATTACCCATCTTGACTTAATTAAATCTGGGAGGTGCCAGTCGAAACCATGTAAGTTTCTTGTATGTAGAAATTAATTGTAACAATTTTCTTACGTGAATTACTTGAATCAGCCAAAGATACCCCTAAGGATCCTTTGATGGCTTTCCAGAGGCAGATGGCAGCCACAATTTGCAACACCAGCTGCGTTCCACTGGGAGTTAACTTTTAGTGCTTAAATTAGGAAGTTACAGAAATCATTTCCTTCTTTACTTACCAACCGGTTCACTAAGGTTTGCGTTAAGAGGACATCCTAAGGCAGGTTGTGCCCACGGCGGATGGGCAGCTACTCAAAACCTGGAGAAGTTCTGCATCAAGCGAACTTTTTCTTCCATTCCGTATATAACGTTCAAATTGGCAATAATTTCATTGTCACAATGATTTTCTTAAAAATAAGGCATTACAAAGTGGATGATACAAACAGAAGAGAATATTTGCAACTCAAGAGTTGCACTGTGGTGTCCTTGCTGTATTCGTGTTCATTTTCTTGTAGACATTTCATTACCCAACTAAATAACATTATCCCAGCCAAGGAACTACTAGCTCACACAAACCTTAAACAACAGCCTAATCAACGAATCACCAAGAACACTCCTACCAACATAGACAGGACCAGCTACTAATATATAAACAGATAGAAAATCCTGTCAGAATATTCATGAACTGGCAGATACATGGTAACAAATTCAGCCAATGAATAGGCATGGTATCAGGTCATCCAATGGGAACTATTTGGTGACTGAGAGTCATGCCAGATGGCTTGGAGCCTGGGCGTGGCTTACCTATGTAGTTCCAAGTCTGTGCTGAGAAACAAAACTGAAACTAGACTGTATTAAGCTCTGACCTGAAACTCATCTCTGCTCTCCTCTGCCTTGTGCTTGCTTGTAGTTGCTACCACGTTGGAAGAATCTGCTGTTGGTATTGTACATTTATTAATGTGTTATTTTATATATATAAAGAAGGTAATGAATCCTGCTGAATCAGTTATCTGTTTGTGCTTTCTGGATTTGATTTTTGCAACAAACTTTGACAAACCCCACTCCAGTAATAAGCACTGATGACGTTACTTAGTTGGTCAATGAAATGTCTGCAGGAAAGCTCAGAGACTACCGAGGGCCCAAAATTGATGCCTTCATTAAATTTCAAAAGGTGTCCAAATGTGAACTTCTCGTACATCAATATAAGTTAGCTGATTCACAAAGGGTTTGTTCTGCATGGCGTACGGATGAGTCTTTAGAAGCACGAAATCATATTTTCCATTAAAAATTAAGTATCTGGCCTTTTTAGGAGAATTCTTTATGGTATTCGTTATCCCCCTTAGCATGTTACATACTCAAAATGAGGCAGAAGCAGAATACAGTAACTGAACATGGTTTTATATCAGAACAAGGTGGGAGCATTTTCATTTCAACACTTTCTTCAACTCCTTGAAATATAGGTCACTGTACTTTACTGCACTCTACCAAATCTCAATTTCAACATTCTATGCCTAGACAAATTAACAATTAAGCATGGAAGGAAAGAAAGCAAATTGCTACTAATAAGACTTGAAATAGAGTGTAAAAAGTCCTGGAAGTAATGATGCTTCGAAGAACCACAGACACTGAAAATGGGTAGGAGTGCAGTGACCACAAGCACTTGGGTGTTCCTGAATTTTTTTTGCTGGATTGAGTTTAATTGTTAATAACACCTCCCCTACTAAAGCTTTGAGGAAAATAGATAAATCTACAGCTGCTACTGAAGGAATGAGAGCTGGGAACTGAATTTCCCTCTATATGGGTAAAGATTCCCCTTGCACATATGTGCTAATCAATCCCGACTCTAAGGGACGGTGCTCATCTCTGTTTCAAAGCTGAAGAGCCAGCCCTGTCCGAAGACGTCTCCGTGGTCATGTGGCCGGCATGACAAAATGCCGAAGGCGCACGGAACGCTGTTACCTTCCCACCAAAGGTGGTCCCTATTTTTCTACCTGCATTTTTTACCTGCTTTTGAACTATTAGGTTGGCAGAAGCTGGGACAAGTAACAGGAGCTCACTTTGTTACGCGGCACTAGGGATTTGAATCGCTGAACTGTTGGCCTTCTGATTGGCAAGCTCAGCTTCTGAGCCACTGCAGCCCTTTCCCAACCTTGCCAACTTTAAGACATGTGGACTTCAACTCCCAGAATTCCCCTGGCAGCCAGAGGAATTCTGGAAGTTGAAATCTACACAATTTAAAATTTGCCAGGGCTGAGAAGCACTGTTCTAAATAGTCCCATCCTGTTGTCAGTCCTTAACAAGGATAGGGAAGGGTAAAATGTCAAAAAGATTTCCAACTTATAAGGCCCATGTGTATACCAAACTCTGGCAGAATTCCCTAAAGACTAAATGGGAAGAGAAGACCCATAGAGACCCTTGGTGCAGAGGATGTAGATGAGTAGAGGGTGGCATAAGGGACTCTTTCTCATCTTTAGATCTTTTTTTTTTTTAAATCATGAAATATTGGAATAGAAGTTATGAAAAATTTGCTTTTCATGATCTCCGTGTATATATGGCCTCTGTTTTTGATAACTTACATTATGGCACATGTAAAGTGTTACGAAACCAAGCGTTCTTGAATTATCGAGGGATTAAAAATGAAACACTTTCAACCGACCTAAAACAATTTCCCTTTCTTTTCTTTTTAAAAAAGAGCCATTTTTAGCAAAGCTATGCGTGGTTTTGATGTCGAGCCAGTTTGTAAACATGGAATGTTTTGTTGTGAAAGACTTTAGTAAAATACATTGTGTAGGAGGGCAGATTTCTTTTGATTTCCTCACAGAAGCGAGGCGACGGTGAAGGTTTGAGATCAGGATCGTATTCTCCAGGACCATCCATAGTCTGTAACGGAAAGTGAAAGGCTGTTTTAACTATTTTGACACTGCTTTATTTTTATTTTATGTCTTTGTATTCTGTTTTATTATTTTTACAAATAACTCAAGGTGGTGGATATATCTAACACACCTTCCTCATCCTGTTTTCCTCACAACAACCCTACAAAGTGAGTGAGAGAGCTTTGTGTCTAAGGTGGGACTAACAATCTCCTTACGAATGGCCCAAAGTCACTCAGCCAGCTTTCCTAAAGCGGGATTAGAACTCACCACCTTCTGGTGATTGGCCCAAAGTCACCCAGCTGGCTTTCATGGCTAAGGTAGGGCTAGAATTCACTGTTTCTAGTTTTCTAGTCTGGTGTCTTCACCATTAGATCTGTTGTGGCCCACCATTGGAGCTGGCAGCAGATTTGGATAGTGAGGAAGTTGGGGAGGAACATGGGCCAGTCCTGGAATCTGGGGAAGGCTCTGATGAGG